CGTCGCTGGTTTACTTCGAGCAACGCAAGGTGTGAAGATGTTCACGCTGAACCGCAACCATGCTGCATCATGTGTATGGTGTAGTGGCCCTCTCCCGGCTCTCGCCTTGCCGCCGATGGCACGCGAATCCTGGAACAGCCATCAAGAGATGGCATAATACTAGCACCCGTGTTCTGCTATTCTCGAATCCATAGTATACAATAATGCACATATGTAGAGGTGGAATGAAAATAGTGATGGTGCTGCACATGTGACGGACTATATGTATTTGGCGATATTTCCAAACTCGGCCACTAGTCGACGGTTGGCTCTGAGAGAAGGTCCTCGATTTTTTGGCTTGAGACGAACGTACATCCAAGCTTCGACTTGAAGTTAAAACGGCGGCGACATTCATACTTTTATGCCACAACAACCACAACTAACTTGTGTAGCAGCGGAAATTCCTCCCTCCGGTTTAGAAGACCTATCTTCAAAACCTCCGCTAGCTATCACCTGCTCAACATCTTCTTATTCGGGTCTCGCACTGACGAAGTGTGGCCCGCAGCTCCGTGGTTTCAAGATGGGATGGGAAGAAAATGAGGAGATGCTGGAAGCGGTAAGCAACCTTCATTGCGTTTATCACTGATATACGTCATGTACATGATTAGATTTGCCTTTTTAAGTTTCCCGTTTGCGAACTAAGAATAGTAATGGTAGATTTTTCTTTTGACCAGACGAGACCAGACGACGCTTGCAGACACCAGCACGAACACTGCACCAGTCACACTCCACATCACTACTATTTGACGGACCTACTGAAGATGGCATCAACAAATCTTAAAAGAATAGTAAGATGTATATTGTACATAGTGTATATACAGTGAAACCCGCCTAAGACGACCACCGCTCAAGGGACCGTGAAAATGTGGTCTCTGTCACCAGGTTGTCTCCTTATCCAGGGTCATTTGACTGGAAACAGCATCCCTTGATCCTGGTTTTAGTGGTCTTTTAGGACAGGTGGTCGCCTTATCCGAGTGGTCGCCTTGACAGGTTTTACTGTACTACTAGTAGCTCGGCCAAGCACCAACACAACCAGAGCGGATCGTCACTAGTACTGACTGTACACCCTACCTACCGGCGGGATGCGTGGTTATAAAAATGGTTAGACTAAAGGCAGCCCATAGTCTATTCTGCCCGTGGGGAAAGGAAGTGTTGTGGGTTTCTCTCAGATTCTGTGATGACTGTCACCACTACTACCGGCAGACACATCTGGGATTGTCTGGGATTGGCCCCACTTGACTCCGATTGGTGATAGCAAGGCGACGACGGAGGCGAGATGAGCACAACCGGAGACTGAGTACTAGTACACGTATTATCGAATCCTGGAATGTCATCCTTTTTCTTGCAAACATGTGTGTTGACATGCATGATTCTCTAACTATTCACATGTACATGTACCGTAAAGTACCACCAGAGCGCCCCACCATCTCATCCTTTCGTGGTCGTATTGTGGAGGTGGTCTGCTGTCTGTAGGTCATACGATATGAACCTTGTACACATATAGCACGTTTTGCAGTCAATCCGTACCTTCGAGCGGACACAAGGTCCACACAAAAACCTGCCAAGTGTGACCTTAGTACACTAAGCTTCTTACATCGTACAAACTTCGTTGCACTCTGCCATACGATTTTCCTTTCTCTGGCTGTAAAATCAAGGTGGGGCGCTCTCGCGAGACGGGGCGCTCTGGCGGTACTTTACGGTACATGTAAAGTAAAACCTGTCAAGGCGACCACCTGTCCTTAAAAACCACTAAAACCGGAACCAAGGGATCTTATTTCCAGTAAATGACCCTGGATCACGAGACCACCTGGTAACAGAGACCATAATAATTATGTTGAAGTTCCATTGAGCGG